TGAGGTTAGACGCAGGGTACTAGGGAATGATGGTAAATCAGTTGGTGAGGTTATGAATCTTCATCGACTGAGATGGTTAGGCCACGTTCTGCGTATGCCTGAACACCGATTACCACGACGTGCAATGCTGACTAGTGTAGGGGATAATTGGAAGAAGGTTAGGGGCGGCCAAACCAAAACGTGGCATCAGTGCTTGAAGTCACTAACTTCTGGTCTGAGCCATGTTGGAAGATTCAGACTGCCTGGTTGGGGTCCGCGTGACTATCGTAACCAATGGTTGGAGACTCTTGGTGACATGGCTGAGAATTGATCATAATGTCTTAAGTGTATACACTCTTTGTCTTCATTTAAACCGTGAGATTAAACTCACTTCATATCTTTCTTTCGACGAACTAATTCCTTCTTCCTGTACTATCTCCTTATATGCAATCTTTCTTCCATATATTACCACCACTGAATTAACTACTTCTATGAATCCGATGTCCATCTTGTTGTGCTAATGAGTAAGGTATGGCAACTTGGACCGATGCATATATGTGCCTGGTCCTACGTTTCAGCTGACTGACTGACTGACTCCTATTATTGTTTAGGAACTGTAATTGATCAATCTCACGTTGGCATATGTGCACACTGTGTAAATTGTCTCGATATTGTCTTAAGTCACAAGTTTTTTGAGCAAAGATGGCTAGGGGTTAGCAGTGGAATCCAGGATGCATGTTTCGTTCTATTTGAGACACGGCAGCTGAATATATCGGCATTTCAGAGTTGATGTTCACTCTGGAACTCGAACTCATTACCGTTCGCTTCAAAGTTTATCGGTATTATCCACTTACCTAATGAGTCATGATAGCCATATGCTTGTGCAATGAGGTGAAGTTTAAATTCACTTGGTATTGTTTGTTGATATCTTTCCATCGATATTTACGACTTCAGTTGATCAATCTCTTATTGGCATATGTACATCTTGTTTGGATTGCCTCGATATTGCATTAAATCACAAGTTTTTCGAGCAAAGGTGGATAGTAGCTAGTAGTAGAATCCAGTTTGACGCGTGTTTCATCCTATTCGGGACTTGTCAGCTGGATATATTTTCATCTAAAAGTTGATGCTAAATAGATTACGCGATAGCGTTTGGATCGAATGATATTGGGTTCGAGTCCTGGAGTGAACATCAACATTAACATATGACTTTGATTGGTAATTGACAAATAGTTTATGTATCAAGTAGCTGATAATGACTAATTGATAGCTCATTTACCGGGTACAAATTTATATACTTTCCTTTGAGATATACTAAGTATGAGGGGTAATGTTACTATTCGTTTGGCCAAAGTGAAATAATTGGAGAGCAGTTTAAATCTAAGACTTTACGGTGGAAATCAAAAGTCTTAACCATTAGATCATAGCTTCATCATGTACAATAATAAGTAGATCTTCGAAGGTGGTAATTTTACAGTACCTTGCATGAGAACTAGACAAACTAGGTCTTTTAATATGTGAAAAGGATAATCTTGTGAAGTAATCATAGAGGTACTAAGAAATCTGATGAACTAGATTAGAAATATTATAAATAGCTACAAACCTTCATGTTTTACACAAGCACGTCCTCTATTGATTGTTAAATATCCAGGTAGACATTCACAAATATATCCATCACCACCAAGATTTAAACAAATTCCTCCATTGCATTTCTTTACAATATCATCTTGACCACATGGTGTTGATCGATGACTTGTTCCGCGTAAATGTAATAGTTTAGGTTTTTTATATATTACATCTGATGAGTCTTGTTGTTTATCTAAGTGAATAAATTATAAAAGGTATTGTTTAAGGGTGAGAACAATGATATACAAATTATAAATGGTTTTCAGTTAATCAGTCAGTCAGTAACAACGTACGTACATCAGTTTAAGTTGCTATACCATATTAACACAGAGATACAATTGTCGATTCAAATCCGATAGAGTTAGAGGTAATAAAAATATAAGCAGTAAACGGAAAGATTAGAGTTTGAAGATGTTATTCAAGGAGTATAATTCAGGGATATAAAGAGTTCAGAAGATTAGAATTTGGGAGAACACAAAGTGTGGATAAACCTACGCCATTGCAAACGAATTTGAGCCATGTCATTCAAGGTCACTAATCATTGGTTGCTATCATCTCGCGCATCCCAACTAGGTAGTCTACACCTATAAACATGGCTCAGTTCACTTGTCAGTGACTTCATGGATTTATGTCATGTGTTGGTTTGGCCGCCCTTAGCTTTCATCCAACCTACTCCTACACCATGAAACATAGCACGTTGAGACAGTCGGTGGTTGGGAATACGTAGCACGTATCCCAGCCATCTCAACTGATGAAGTTTCACTATTTCATCAATTGATTTGCCATTCTTACCTAATACCCGTTTCCTAACAACTAGATCAAACGAACAGTAAAGAATGTAAACAAAATGAAATTTGTATGAAAATGCAAGAACAATAAAGTCTGAGTCATTTTAAGACAATTGATGAACATTTTGTAAATTAAGCATTTACCATATGATTGTTCGATTTCATCAACTTATCATGCATCAGACCATTGAGTTTCTTTTAAACTTTCACTTCTTCTCCCTCGAAATACAAAATGTTGCTTCAGGATTGGGTTGCATCGCCACGCGAACTAGTGATAGGGAGTGAAGTAGTTGAGCGTGTCGACCGCTTCACTTATCTCGGAAGTCTCATCAGCCTTTGTGGTCTGGTGTGTGACGAAATCTCAGAACGGATACAGAAAGCTCGACTAGCTTTTGCCAACTTCCGACACTTGTGGCGTAGGCAAGATATCCGTCTACCAACAAAAGGATGGGTTTACTGCACAGCAGTTTGTTCTGTCTTACTTTATGGCAGTGAAACATGGCCGGCAAGAGTAAAGGATATTCATAGGTTACTAATATTTGATCATAGATGTCTTCGAAACATTGCTCGTATATACTGGGACCACCGAGTAAGTAATGCAGTTGTTAGGAAACGGGTACTAGGTGAGGATGGCAAACCAATTGATGAAGTAGTGAAACTTCATCAGTTGAGGTGTCTAGGACATGTGTTACTTATGCCCAACCACCGACTGCCCCGACATGCGATGTTTTCTAGTGTAGCAGTAGGTTGTAAGAAAGCTAGGAGCAGCCAGATCAAAACATGGCACAAATCCATGAAGTCACTGACCAGTGGACTGAGCCATGTTGGTAGATGTAGACTACCTTATTGGGATCCGCGAGACGATATCAACCGATGGTTAGAGAGCTTGAATGACATGGCTGAAAATCGTTTGCAATGACGCAGATGCATCCACTCTTTGTGTTTTCTCGAACTCTAATCTTCTGAATTCTTCATTTTCTTTATTTTTTTCCAAATTTATTTCACTGTATTATACTCCTTGAATAACATCATCAAACCTTAATGTTCCCTTTCACTATTTATACTTTCACTACCTCTACTACTACGAGATTTGAATCGATAACTGAATCTCTGTGCTAATGTGGTATGGCAACTAAAAGTGATATACGTACGTACGGAGTTCCACGTTGTTACTGACTGACTCACTGACTCTTTGAGTGGATTGGTCGTGGTTAGCTAGATAGTATAGGCGAATCAAGTCGACATGAACAAACAGTGAGTAGATCAATCTGTAATGTCAGTTGCTATATTAAGCCTACATAGTTTATTCTAGCTTTCGAAAAGGCTAATTTATTCATTCATCTTGAGTCACGTTTTGATCTTGTCAATTATTCACTTATCAACCCTGACTGTTTTTATATGAGCGTATGTGTGCGTGTGTGTGCATATCTTATCCCATTCATCCCATGTCTGTAGATTATTTTTGTATAACTATAAATATTGATTAACGTTTGATTAAATGGAATTGGCTCACATGCCTTCGCAACTGCGCGTCCTTTCATTTCGCTTCACTCTCTCCGATCTTCCCTTCCTTCGCCACGATTCTCTGATTGTCTATTCCAATCGACAAGTGTACAAAATATCCATATTCAAACATTTATTCTCGTATTTCATTTATTTAATCCCGTTATTCACCAACGCGAGTTAAGTCGATAATTTTATACGAGAATTGACGATCTGTATATTATCCTTAATACACATTCATACGATCTAACTGGAGTCGGAGCTCAGGCCACTAGTGTGGTAAACCCATAGATAACATCGTCCTATCTAATTGACGTCAAAATGAAGGATCCCACTAAAGATCTATTTCAAACAATCGTCAAATAAAGCCATTCTACATTAATAAATTTATAACTCTAAACAGTATTAACAATAACCACATAGTGTTGAAAATCTCTACCTCTACACATAATGATCATATTTTAAGTTAGCTTATTTTGAAGTGCTTCAATATAATCCATTTGAATATAGAAGGAAACAATGACATAAATTCACTGGGATTAATCGCTACTAAATAATAATAGTTCTATAGTGAAGATCAACTGTGAGGTGCAGGTACATCCAACTGACGAGTCCCAAATAGGACGAAACTGGATCCCCTTGCTAGCCACTATCCATCTTTGCTTATTATTTGCATTTAAGTATGTAGCATTGAATTTGACTTTTTAACTGAATCTATTCATATCAAGTGTATATATACAATGTAAATATTCACATTTGATTAGAATAGAGATCTTGATTACTCTCATTAGCAAAATGTCATTATTCTTATCATCATCCTCATCACCATCATCCTCAAATAGTTCTTAATACCATTATATAATGTTAACAATGATGATAATATGCAGTACATTTGGTTTTATAGTTTTGATAACATTAAATGTCATGATATGAAAGGGGTGTCCGAGTGTGTGTGTGTGTGTGTGTGTGTGTGTAGAATTGTAGATATTTGTATTTGAAATCAGACATGTAATATTAGTTACATAATAGATTACATTCTTTAAATAATTGTGTTGAACTATTTACTAAACTATACCATTTGGATCCTTTTATTTTATTCTATTTGATAATCTGAAGATATCTTTCATCATAGATTGTGAGGTTAGACATTCATACTATTGAATGTCGGCTTAGTGGTTCAGTAGGTTAAACGTTCGCGCGTAAGACTGAAGGTCCTGGGTTTGAATCCCACAACCCCCCAAAACTGGAAGGATCTATCAGAATTTTGAGGTAATGAATAGCTACTTCATCATATTTAGTGACTTCAGATCAGTAAGCAAGCATTCTTATAGATAGATCAGGGCTACTACTACCTCACATATAACATAAGTTTATTGAAGTTGGAAATGATACCGATCCAGTGGTCCAAATGGTTAAGAGTTCCTACCAAAATCTGATGATATTGGATTTGATTCTAAGAATATTCAAGAGCGTACACAGCTGATGTGAACGTCACTAGGGAGAGACAGGTGTCCAGTTTTCTCGGAGTTTTACTAGTTCCTAAGCTATAAGCTATAAATTAAATCTATCAGTATAGGTGTTGTGGAGATTATTAAGTGTTCGATTGAGATTATGAACCATTGAAAACCTGGAAACACTGAACGGCTGTTTCGTTCTATTGTGGGACTCCTCAGCAGTGCGCATCCACGATCTTGCTCGCGGGATTTCAACCCAGAACCTTTAGTCTCGCGCACGAACGCTTAATCTACTGGAAAAAAAGATTTATAAATTTAGAGATGTCGTGGTGTTTGAATTCGATGGTCTAGTTGCAATAAAGTAGCCAAGAAGTAAGCTGTGTTGGCTCAACAAATCCAATCAAATCATCCAGTTCAGAGAACATAACGAGTTCAACCTTCTCATTCAAAGCTAAAAATATTCTTCATGACCTAGAGTAATCGAAATGCTTGTATTGTTCAGAATTAATTGTTTGGCGCATTTCATTTGAAAGGTTTGAAGGTTTATGTAATATTTTCAATTTGATCAATGTAGTACCTTCATAAGCTATGCTTATCATCACAACCAATTTCAAAAATGAAACTGAATAAGCAATTATTATATTACTTACTTCCATTTCAGTAGTACAAGACATGTTCTATGAAGTATGAAAGGTTCTACTCAAAGACTCTATGTGCCTCTGCTAGGTAGTGAGAGCAACCTTACTAGCTAATTTGGGCGGTCAACAGAGATCAAACCAATCCACTACTCCTATTCTGAACTTACCTTGCTCGAGTCTCATTTTTAAAGGTTTTAAAATCATGACGCGTTTCCCGATTTGCGTGTTTATGAATATGAGTTTCATAAGTCTCGGCTTGTGTAGATAATGTTTGTAGGTGTATGCAAATGGTGTGCGCATGGGTTAGCACAAGGAATGTAAGCTGAATAAAGGTCTGCCATATGTCTACTAAAATCAGTGATCTAATACAGTAGATCGAAGATATAATAAAAATATAGGATAACAAATAATAGGAATACGTGACCATCAACCCTCCCTGAGAAAGTACCTATTCTTGTGTGTATATCATGAATTGCATGGACGGAATTGTTTGTACCAGTGATAATCATGTACTGAGTAAGAAACAGTTCATTTTAGCAAGTACGTTCAAAGGGAGCGGTGACCATCTAGCCCCCCCCAGGTGGGTGAATATACCTAGATGTATTCATGTAACGTATGTTTTCTCACACGTTAAGTATACCTATATGTATGCCAAGGGATACATTGGTAAAAATTTATGTCCTACTGGTATGCATATAGATTATACTTGCCCATGTTCGACGTCTACGCGCCGGATTCCAGCGACGTCCTCCTGAAATCACATCCATGCGGTGGGTTCAAGAGACTCAGAAAACGGATTTTAATCCAAATAAGTCAATCGGCTTTACTGAGTAAAGTTTCATCAACCTTAGATCATTGGAACACCACAGTAACAATGAATTATTATTTTGATCGGAATTGAAAGACGATATGAAAATTTCCTTACTTCTAAAATCCTGACTATATCATACAGAAAGACAGACCTTTAAGAGTTTAAGTACAGTTAGTCATACATTGCGGACCATCATCTGTTATCATCTTGAAGAAACATAAACACATTTCTGACAAGATATTTTCACTAATGTTCAGTAAGATGATATGTAATTCTAAAAGAAATGGATGGGTAGATCAATACAACAGAGATAAACTTACACTGTGAATAGGATTTATGTTGTTTCTTTGATAAACTATCACTTTGCCACCAGTTATAAGACTTTTCATCTAAAGAAAAATTAAACAAATAAATGAGGAAATGAGTTACTATTTGTTTAGTTATAAGGGACAAACGTTAAATGTATTAACTTAATGGTACTATTTTAAGCATTATCGATGAACAAAGAGGATCAGATGCCGACATAAAGGCAAGGATTAGAAAAGTAAGCAGCGTATTCTTATAGTTGAAAAACATATGGCACTGTGAACAACAACTGTCAACCAATATCAAACTTAGAATCTACAATACGAACATCAAGACAGTTCTATTGTAAGGAGCTAAAATGTAGAGAACTACCACAACCATCATCAAAACAGTACAAGTATTTATAAACAAAGGGATACCATCAGCAACAGACTTTTGTGAGAGAAAGCAAACGAACTTCCAGCTGAAGAGGGAATTAGGTAAAGACTATGAAAATGGATAGGACATACATTGAGAAAATCACTAAACTGAATCACGAAGCAATTCCTAACTTGGAATCCTGAAGGGAAGTGGAAAAGTGGAAGGTCAAAGAGCACATTACGTCAGGAAATAAATGCATATACGAAAAGGATGAATAACAAGTGGAAAGAGCCGTAAAGGATTGCCTAGAACAGGGTTGGATAAAAAATGGTGTTAGGCGGCCTTCGTTCCTACACGAGGAGTAGCAGGCGTATGTAAATAAGTACTATTTTAAACCATTATTGTGTCTTTATGACTTCTGAGATACCATATCAAAAGTCAGTGACAGATAGTATACCAATAATTGTTAGTTATAGTCATCAAGCAAATAGTTGATTAGTCACATTATTTTTGATTGAGATTATGAAGCAATTGATGTTAGACCATCATTGAAAACCTGACAGTACTTGACGGTGGTTTCGTCCTATTGTGAGACTTCTCAATAGTGCGAGTCCACGATCCCGCCGGTGGAATTCAAATCCAGGGCCTTCATTCTCGCGCGCAAACACTTAACCTACTGCACCACTGAGCCGGCATCCAACAGTGTTAATGTCTAACTTCAACCAATCCACGGAATTGCGCTACCATCTTCCATTGTACTGAGGTAGACACCCGTTTCTACCCAACACGGATTAACTCCACTAGTCACGGCTTCTCACCAGAACTCCAAGAATTTTCTCATGTTGGTCTAACATCAATCGGTTCATGATCTCAATCAAAAACTTATCAATCTCCACAACCCCTAAATTAATAGTCACATGATTGTTGAAATGTTTAATACATTGATTCAATCTAACCTTAGTTCCATCTGTCTTTAATTGACTACTAATCTATGAACAGGTAACTATATTCCTATGTATAATGTTTCTATGCGCTATAACCGGATCCCAAATCAACGATAGCGTTTGAAGCGGACGGTACTGGGTTCGAGTCCCGGAGTGAACATCAACTCTGAGATGCAGGTACATCCAGCCGACGAGTGCCAAATAGGAGGAAACGCGCGTCAAACTGGATTCCACTGATAGCCACTATCCATCTTGTCCCCAAATGCCCTGGTACGGCCGAGAGTGGGGAGAGTCCGCTCTCCTTCTCCAAATGCTCTCACATGGCTACGCGTATATAGCCTCTGCCAGGGAAGTCCTACTCACTGCCTTCACGTGGCGGGGGTGTTGTTTACAAAAATGAGAGGACGAAAAGCGAATGTCCGGCGCTCCAACCGGATCCCAAATCAATGGTGTACATGGGCTCCAGTATCCTGAAAGAACAAATGGCGTATGAACCAATCGTTGGTCACCGGCTACCATGGGACTGCATCTTCTTACGATGCCCCACTACCTTGTGGGTCAGAAGTTCAGGTCAAAGGCTCGGGGTGTGGTCCCCTAAGAAAATCACCTGTTTCGGTCTGGGCCTCCGGGCAGTATCACAGCCCTCACACATATCAAATGAGATGTGTGGCGCATATGTAATTGGTGCCTCCTTGTACCAATATCTATGTGTTGAAATAAATAAATAAATAAATAAATAAATGTTTCTATGCATCTTATATTATACTGTATGAGTAATTATAATTAAGTTTAATTCTTATATCAAGTACAATTATTTTGGTTCCCGTAAAGGTTAGATTATTAAATGTCATATAATGATCATCTTAACTATAGACTAGTATTAACTCTATTATGATAGTATAAGGGGGGAAATGATCACATCAACTACCTAAATCTTAATATTTGAACGTATTCAATTGATTGATTACCTTTCATTTATTGACAACATTAATATAAAATAACTGTTATAACCTTTTGTAGGTATTTAAACAAATTGGATTGTAATTTTGAATAGAAATAATGATGTTCATAACAAATTCATGGTGGACATCTACTAATCATACATATTCATTTTCAGTACTGGAGTTGTGGAGATTATTAGGTTTTTGATTGAGATCATCAATCGACTGATGTTAAATCACCGTTGGAAACCTGGAAGAACTGGACGGCCGTTTCGTCCTATCGTGGGATTCCTTAGCAGCGCGCATCCATGATCTCGAGCCTAGGGCCTTCAGTCCTGTGCTCGAACGCTTAACATAATAAACCACTGAGTCGGCATCCATTGATGTTAATGTCTAATCACAACCAATTCACAAAATTGCGCGAGCATCATCCATTGTCCTGAGGTAGGTACCTGTCTCTACTCGATACGGATTAGCTCCACTGGTCACTGCTTCTCACTAGAACTGAGAGAATTCCCTAGTGAATGCGCACTGCCGAGGAGTCTCAGAATAGGACAAAAACAGTCATCCAGTGCTTCCAGGTTTTCAATGATGTTCTCACATCAATCAGTTCATGATCTCAATCTCAATAACTTAATAATCTTCACAACCCCTTATACTGATAAACAGTGAAATGACCTTATATCAATGTATAATTTTTAGTACAAAACTATAAAATCATCATCATAATGCTAATAGTAATAATACTAAATATATCACATTCTCTTTTGGGTAGGGAATAAAAAAATGGAAAACATGAAATTCTCATCATATATCTATCTGTGTACTTAGATTATAACTTATAATGGTGATTTATATGATAAGTTACTTGGGGGGGGGGAACCAGATCATACCAAAGGATTACTATCATTATTACTATTACCATTATTATTACTATTATTATTATTACTATTATTATTTATATATTACATCCATATCCATATGTTTTGTACAAGTGTATAATGAAACTACGTGTAGAATTCAATATTCTTTATACATATGGTAATAGTTATGTATTTAAATGGGTATCATTACATCCTCCCCTTTCTTTTGCTTCATTTGGAAACAAACCAGTCGACTACTACTACTACTACTACTACTACTACTACTAATAATAATAATAATAATAATAATAATAATCATAATAATAATAATAGGTAACACCCAATCAATAATCAATATTAAAAGGAAAAGGTTACTAGTAATATTATTATTATTATGATTATTATTAATGATTATCATATTTTTTCCCTGTAATATTTTCTTTCTTTAAGTTTTTCTCTTTTTTTTCTTCTGTTTTTCGTTTTTGTTTTGGCATTCTATATATTTTAAATTATGGAAAAGAGAAGAGAGATATAATTGAATTAATAGACAAACTGTTTAATTTATTCTTTGTCTTCTTTTTCTTTTCTCTCTCTTTTTTCTTCTCTTTCTTTTCTCTTTTTTTTCTCTTTTTATCATTATTGTTGTTACAGTTTTCTATGTGGATTTTATCTATTCTATGCTTGTCATTAGTATAAAACACTTTATATAATAGACTTGGCAAGAAATGAGTACCATATTCAAATATATATATATATATATATATATTCTATTTTGAAAAGTATTTCATAAATGATAGTTTTTTTTATTTTTATTTTTTGATAATCTAATGAGTAAGAAAATTGTATGAGTGACGATATTTCGTCACTGGAATCAAGTTACTTCTTCAGAAATGATCAGATTTATTATGATTGTGATTATGTAGTGAATAAGAACACGAACGAGAACAATCAAATAGTTATATCCTAAAGAAAGATTAAATTATGAGTAACCTTTGAGATCTATTAATGGATTCATATTATTCAGATATATATTATTATTATTATGTTATAACTATTTAGTAATTAGATTATGTATATTCATGTTCCTTTTATGATAAGATTTATTTAGACCTACAGATGATTATTATACGATTTATTGTTCTTAAGTTATGTTCAGTTTATTGATTACTGCCTCCCAGATTCACAGCTACTTTTTGGCTTAATTGTGTATGAATGTTATTTTATGGTGCGTTGAGGTCTGTTTGGTTGATATATAAACCCAGTAGGTCTGAAATAAATGATTCGCATAATGAAGGTTGTTATTAACATTCTGAACTCAACTGGACGAGCTAGGCGAGTAAAGGACAAATAAGGATGCTAGGTTGATCAGACCAGATGAACATCATTGGTTAAGTACAGTACAAGAACAAATAAGTTGTATTTTGATTGGATAATAAATTACATAATAACTAGCAGACCATAAAGTCAAAACATGAATGTACTTGAATGTACAGAGCATCTCACTAAAATCTTAAAACCATAAACTACATAGGGAATTTGTAATATATCAATTAATTGTCTCAAACTTTACTATTCTCCTTTGCAAATCTTAGTCAATTGTCTTAGATTTCACTATTCAAGCATTTTAATAACAATCACTTTCCATTCTTATTCTTTCCTTTTTGATCTTCTACTGAAATACATTCTATTCCTCATTATCGTTCTATATTAATTATGTGAATATAAGTAGCTCACACTAATATATTATTTCTTTTGTACTCATTAAACTTGTGTTCATTTAATGTTTTCGATTATTTATTTTGTTTACTCTGAAGAAGTCAATTACATGAAGTGACGAAACATCATCAGAAATACAATGTTTCTACTCATTAAGATATAACAAAATCATACATTGACATTGATACCAATAGTGTTTTTTGTATGAAACATAAATTCATTGGAATAAAGAAGAAAGATTCTTGTGCCTATTCATTTGATTATAGATGAATTGAATAATGAAATTTACATAAATATCATAATTGGATTTTACTATTTTGATAGAGTTTTGTTTACTGAACTGGATGGTTTGGTTGTGGAGCTTTTATTGTTCCTGTGGACGACATCATCAGCATAAAACATTAGATAGAAATGAAGTGTTCGAATTTCTCCATATGCGTTTCACAGCTTGTTCTGTACAATGTTCTGAACAATGAAAACTCCATGATCAAACCATCCAGCTCAAAGAACAAAACTCCATCAAAATCATCCATCTGAGCTACAAATCTTCTCCATCATCGCATATTCATATGAGGATTTCACTATTTTTTATTTAGTTATCAGTTAATAACTAAGAAGAATTAGTTAGACAACTGAGGAAATATCATTACAAAGGTTCAATACAAACTTCCTTTGAGATATTGACAAACTCAATGAATTTAAGATCGCTTTTAACAACACGTTCCAAGTTTCATAAGATCTACTTACAGAAGAACAAATTACTATAGAAGACTACTATACAGAACTAAGCAGACCACAATTAGACTAAGATGATAAACTTTGTTAGATAGATACCATACTTGGTATTTTACTACGGATCATTGTTGAACAATCAGTTGAATAGAACTCGTTATTAGACATCAATTTCCTTGATTACTAGAAAGCATTTGACAGTATGAATAGGAGAACATTATAGCGACTTCTTCGACACTATGGAGAACCTGAAAAAATCGTCAACATCATTCGGAATTCTTATGATATACTGAACTGGAAAGTGGTGCATAGAGGACAACTGACCGACTCATTCCAAGTGAAGACCAGTGTCAGACAGAGATGCTTATTCTAACCCTTTCTCTTTCTTCCGGTGACTTATTGGATTATGAGGACCTCCACATGTGACGGGTAGGACGAAATACAATTGATAGTTTGATTGCGGTTAGACGATTTGGAATTCGTAGATGACCTAGTTCTTTTATTTCATATACATCAACATACGCAGATGAAGACAACCAGTGTAGCAGCCGACTCTATAGCGATAGGCTTCGACGTACAGAAGGTAAAAACCGAAATCCTGAAATACAACACAGCCAGCACCAACTAAATTACACTTAATGGTGGAGCTCTAAGAGTGGTGAAAAGTATTACATACCTGGACATCCCCATTGATAACCAAGGTGGATCTGATTCAAATGAAAAGGTACAGATTTTCAGAGCAAGAGCAGAATTACTATCATTCAAGAACATATGGAACTCAAAACAACTGTCGTCCAGGAATAAAGTCACAACTTTCAATACAAGCATCAAAACAGATCTAACGTGTGTATTTCAAATTCGGAGAACTACAATAACCGTCATCACAAAGGTACAGGTATTTATAAACAATTATCTACACATGATATTGAATTTCCGTTGGCCGGATACTATTCTCAACAGCCTACTGTGTAAGGGAACAAACGAACTTCCAACTGAGAAGGAAATTAGGAAAAGACATTGAAGTCGATAGGACATTCATTTCGGAAATCATCAAACTACATCACAAGGCATGCCCTAACTTGAAATCCTGAAATAAAACAAAAAAGAGGAACGACAAAGAACACACTGCGTCGAGAATCGGAAGCAGAAATGGAAACAATGAATAGCAACTGGAGAGAACTAGAAAGGGTAGGATATAGAATTCTGATGGACAGCCTATGCTACTCCACGAGGGATGACAGGCTTAAATAAGTAATAATTAGCAAGCGAAGGCCTAAATTTTAGACCACTCAGTCGGTATCCAATGATGTTAATGTCTAACTTCAACTAATCCACGAAATCGAGCGATATATCCACTATTGTCTTCAGTGAGTTACTATCTCATAAGTGACCCAGTTGAACTCCATTGATCACTGCTTCTCACTAGAATTCCAGTTAATACCTCTTGAAGCCAGTCACTAGTGAGCATATGTTGATTTGTATCAAAAATGGGTTTGTGGATATTATCGTAATTTCAATAGTTGAGATCATGAGTCAATTAAAGCTAGATCACAAGTATTTCTAGGTTTTCCATTGTGGTCTAGTTTCAACTGATTCATGATCTCAACTATTGAAATTCTAAAATAAACAATTTAACGCTAGTGTAGTAGGTACTTTAATCATACAGGTATCCAAAAAAAAAAAAAAAGAAATATTAAACTGAACAATTGTTCATTAATTGACTTAACAGTGACAAGTTCATAATCACTGTATGACAGTGATCTGTAAATAAACCAAATATGAGTGATTCAGACAACGTTATATCTCAAATGTACATAAAACTCAGAATCAAATTTATTTATTTATTTATTTGAACACATAAATATTGGTACAATGGAGCACCGAGTACATATACGCCACACATGTCACTTGATTTGTGTGTGCAATGTGTTACTGCCCGGGTGCCCAAACCGAACCACATGGTTTTCTTAGGGGACGCTACAAGAAGTCTTCGACCTAAAGGTCTGATCCACAAGGCAGTAGAGCAACAATAGGCGATGCAATCCCATGATAGTCGGTGACCAAGCATTGGTTCATACACCATTTATTCCTTCAAGATCCTGATGCTCATGTGTATCATTGGTTTGAATCCAGGGTTTTCTAATTCCTCTGTCTGAATCCTCTATATCCACTAACCTGGTTAAAGAGCCGGATATTTGATTTCCGTTCTCTCAATTACGTAAACAACACTGTCTCCAAGAGAAGGCAGTGAATAAGACTTCCTTAGTAGTGGTTGTATACACGTGGTTATGTGAGAACATTTCTAAAGAGACAGAGAGAGGGAGAGAGATAACCACCCCCACCCTCAACCGTAGCAGAACATTTGATGGCCAGAATCAAAGTGTTATAACCAATTATTATATCATTCCAAATTCATATAACTCATCATCATACACATATATTCATTTGTGAACTAACCATCAATATCAGAATGATCAGTTTGTAATTGTGGTTTATTGATTTCTATTGAATTTTCATAAGGTTCATTTTCTTTATTACCATAGTATTTATTTTTGTAATATTGAATAGATTTTGTAAAATGTACATTCGAATTAGCTATTTAATCAACAACAAAAGAATAAACAGAAACATAATTGAGAGTATAATATGAGAAGTGATTTCATTAATTTGGTCAGGTTTAGATTAATTAGATGAATATCCAAGGTTACTGTAGTGTTCTAATTATGGTGTATACTACTGATATCAACAAATATAAGTAGTATGTATCATCAATCGGAAGTGAAATAGCTGGTGGTAGAAGGTGAAGAAGATTGGAGAGAAGAGAATGAGAACAGAGAGTGATTGATGTGGGAACGAAGAAACATTTTGTAAATGATGTTTACTTTCAGAGAATACTTACAAGATTTCAACAATCCAATTATAGAGAGTTTCAAGATGTACCTTCAAAACAGTTTGTATATTTCTCTCCACTTCTATCTTTTAAAGATTGATCTCCTACCAGGAGGTCCACTTATCGACTTAGAATACGCAGATGACATAGTCTTGTTTGGTGAAGACGCTGATAAAATGCAGTGTCTTTTGGTAGCACTGAGCAACAATGCCAGAATGTTTGGGATGCGCTTCTCTCCCTCCAAATGCAAGTTGCTGCTTCAGGACTGGTCTGAGTCAACACCTGAACTAAGGATATGGAGTGAAGTAGTCGAACGCGTTGACAACTTCACTTATCTTGGAAGTTTGATCAGCCCTAATGGGTTGGTGTCTGACGAAATCTCAGCACGGATTCGAAAAGCTCGTTTGGCCTTTGCCAACATACATCACCTATGGCGAAGGTGAGATATTCTTCTGTCAATTAAGGGACGAGTATATTGCCCGGCAGTTCGTTGTGTTTTAATTTACGACTGCGAAACATGGTCTTTAAGAAAAAAAGATATTCATAAGTTACTAGTATTTGGCCAAAGATGCATCAGAAATATTGATCGCATCTGCTGGGATCACCGGGTAAGTAATAGTGAGGTTAGACGCAGGGTATTAATGAATGATAGTAGATCAGTTGATGAGGTTCTGAATCTTCATCGACTGAGATAGTTGGACCACGTGTTGCGTATACTTGAACATCGATTACCATGACGCGCAATGTTGATTGGTGTTGGGGATGGTCGGAAGTTAGGGGCGGCCAAATAAAAACGTGGCATCAGTGCTTGAAGTCACTAACTTCTAGTCTGAGCCATGTTAGTAGATGCAAACTACCTCGTTGGGGTCCGTGTGACTATCGTAACCAATTGTTGGAGAATCTTGATGACATGACTCAGAATCGATCACAATTACTTACTTACTTACGCCTGTTACTCCCAATGGAGCATAGGCCGCCGACCAGCATTCTCCAACCCACTCTGTCCTGGGCCTTCTTTTCTAGTTCCATCCAGTTCTTGTTCATTTTTCTCATGTCTATCTCCATTTCTCGGCGTAATGTATTCTTTGGTCTTCCTCTCCTCCTTCGGCCTTGAGGATTCCATGTGAGTGCTTGTCTCGTGACGCAGTTAGGTGCTTTCCTCAATGTGTGTCCTATCCACTTCCACAACTTCTTCCTGATTTCTTCCTCCACTGGGATCTGATTTGTTCTCTCCCACAGTAGGTTGTTGCTTATAGTGTCCGGCCAGCGGATCTGAAGTATTTTGCGTAGACAACTGTTAATAAACACCTGTATCTTTTCGACGATAGATTTCGTAGTTTTCCAGGTTTCCGCGCCATACAGTAGAACTGTCTTGACATTTGTATTGAAAATTCTGACTTTGGTGTTGGTTGCTAATTGTTTTGAGTTCCAGATATTCTTCAGTTGTAGATATGCTGCTCTTGCTTTGCCAATCCGTGCCTTCACATCTGCATCAGATCCACCGTGTTCATCGATGATACTGCCGAAATATGTAAAGGTTTTTACATCTTCCAAAGCTTCTCCGTCAATTGTGATTGGATTGGTACATGTTGTGTTGTATCGAAGAATCTTGCTTTTCCCTTTGTGTATATTGAGACCTATTGCTGCTGAGGCTGCAGCTACACTGGTTGTCTTCTCCTGCATTTTTTGTTGTGTATGCGATAGAAGAGCCAGATCATCTGCGAAGTCTAGATCATCCAATTGCATCCTAGATGTCCACTGTATCCCGTGCTTCCCTTCAGATGTTGATGTCTTCATGACCCAGTCTATCACCAGGAGAAAGAGAAAGGGTGAGAGTAAGCAACCTTGCCTAACACCAGTCTTTACTTCGAACGACTTTGTCAACTGTCCTCCATGCACGATTTTGCAGTTTAATCCATCATAGGAATTCTGTATGATATTGACTATCTTCTGAGGCACGCCGTAGTGTCGAAGAAGCTTCCATAGGGTTGTTCTGTCCACGCTATCAAATGCTTTTTCGTAGTCGATGAAGTTGATATAGAGTGATGAATTCCATTCAATTGATTGTTCCACAATGATCCGTAGAGTTGCGATTTGGTCTGTGCACGATCTATCCTTACGGAATCCTGCCTGTTGGTCTCGAAGTTGGGCGTCTACGGAGTCCTTCATCCTGTTTAACAATACCCTGTTGAAGACTTTTCCCGGTATTGAAAGAAGAGTTATTCCCCTGTAGTTGTCACAGTTGCTGAGATCGCCTTTCTTTGGTATTTTGACTAGAAGTCCTTCTTTCCAGTCTTTTGGTACCTGTTCCTCATCCCAGATCTTTCTGAAGAGAATGTGGAGTATCCTTGCAGTTGCCGCTACGTCTGCTTTCAGTGCCTCTGCTGGAATGCTGTCTAGTCCTGCTGCTTTGCCACTCTTGATTTGTCTGATAGCCATGCTGATCTCTTCAATTGTTGGTGCGCCAACATCAATTGGGAGGTCCGTGAGTGCTGCTTAATCGATCACAATGGCACAGGTTTATTCACTCTCTGTCTTCCGTTAAAGTGTAAGATTAAACTCGCTTCATATCTTCCTTTCTACGTACTAAATCTTTCTTTCTGTACTATCTCCTTATATGCAATCTTTCTTTTATATATTACTATCATTGACTTAACCATTCCTATGAATCCGGTGTTCATCCTGTTGTGCTAATGAGGTATGATAACTTGGACCGATGCATATATATGCCTGGTCATACGTTTCAGCTGACTGACTGACTGACTCCATCAAATATCATAGAAACAAGAATGAATGTTAACAGTTATGGATATTCATCCATGAATAGAAGCTAATCATCACTGTTTAGTAACGTTCTTTACATACGTTTTGGATTTTTATAAATTGGATACTTATGAAAAAGAAAGAATTTTGTTACGATTTTGTATATTTTGTACTGTAAACTCTTTTCGCGAAACTATGATTTATCACAATTGATTGATCACTGGGTGGTGATCAATGTCATGCGTGTATAGTCCTTATTATTAGTGCGGTTCGAATGCTATCGACTGTTGCAATGTGGCCACCAGTCTAGGTGTCTCGACACTGCGGGCACTATTGTGAGATTAGATGGTGGTTGGAGGTAGTCGACAGTAAACCCTAGACCCGGGTTTCGTGCTACTTGGACTAGACACGCATGACATTAGTCACCACCCAGTGATCAATCTATTGTGATTACATTTCAGTCCTACAGGAGATCGGTTGCGGCCGGGATAGCTCAGTGGTAACGTCTTTGACAGTGAAGATGGATGACACGGGATCGAATCCATCATGGGGCACCAGTTCTCTCAAGATTACAGGTACACCTTGCCGATGAGTGCCAAGTGGCACGAAACCCGGATCCAGGGTTTCCTGTCAACTACTTTCAACCACCATCTAACCATAATTTATGGACGAGTTAATCAGAAGCGCTAAAGAGAATTCAAGGTCAAAGCGCCAACTTCAGTATCTGATGCTTACGTACAATCAGTTCACAGAGGACAATTAAGCGACTACAACAAATGGGACTACTAAGAAGTTGCTTTATTTCTGATTGTTATCATCACATGACTTGTGCAGAATACCGTGATGATATTGTTTTTCGATGTAATATATGCTGGAGGATGAAGTCTGTTAAAATAGGGTTTTTTCTCTCGATCCAATTCAATTCAGGCTAAATCTTTACTATTTTTCAACATAAATATTTACTTCAATTTGAAATGAATTAGATTATCTTCTTGTTAATATTCCAACCGCACTTTGATCATTTCTAGTTGGCCTATGTACATTCTATGAGGATTGATTCGAAATAGCCATTATAACACAAGTTAGTATAGAACCAATGGAATAGGTTTAGCAGTGGAATCCATGATGTTTGTTTCGTTTTATTTGGGATTCGTCAGTCGAACGTATATACATCAATAACTAAGTTTATAATGCGATGATATTTAATACAAATGATACTGGGTTCGAGTCCCCGAGTGAAATGAAAAATCTAACATGTATTTCACTCTAACTGATAAGTCCCAAATAGAACAAAACAACCATTCTAGATTTCAATATTAGCTAAATTTCATTTATTCTCTAAATATCTACCCTAATGTTAAATACAATAATAAGGATCTAGATGTTTTAAACACTACTTAAATTAGTATTTACTCACATTCTTCCATTTTCATGATACATTTTTTATGATCCGATGTACTTTCATAACCTATTTCACATTGACATTCATAATCACCATTGGATAAAGCAATACAATAACCATTTGAACAAATACTTGGTCCTAATTCTTCACATTTACCTATTAGAAAAGAATAAAACAAATAGATAGATATACCGCTAATAAAACACTTTCAGACCCATTGAACATATTAGCTGTTATTATAAAACTCAGTAGCTTCATGGTTAATCCATGGATATTTCAAATGATATATACTAAATCTAATTATCTATGTGAATATTAACACTAGCCTTCGAATCATTAATAGGACAAAACGCTAATTTTATATTCCACTGTCAACTACAATCCAACTGTTCAAATATTGATCAAAACAACTGCTGTATATATATATATATATGTAAGGATGACCCATGAGTGAACTTGAGGAAGTTCTGAGAGGTTCATAAAGAGTCGAAGATATTTCATCTAATCATCTTCTGAAAGAATATTCCAGAATTTCTACGTGTAGCTTCCTTATTGGACAAGTGTTAATAACCTTTTGTATGCGGATTGGATGACAATAATGATGATTTCGTTTTTACAAAAAAAATTATAATCCTTTCATTTGTCTTCTGTCTTTTCATTAGCGACTTGGAGAGTTCTAGAGTTCGAATGCATATGTTGTACGTGTTATATTAAGAATCTAACCTAAAGATATAACAATATGTGTATAATATTTGAAATCTATGTGGTAAAACTAACTATTCCATTGTAATTAAATATATATACTCCTGGAGTTCTAGTGAGAAGCCGTTATCAATGGAGTTCAACCAGGTCTGTTGTGAGATATCAACTCACTGAAGACAATGATAGACAGTAGCGTAACTTCGTGAATTGGTTGAAGTTAGATGCCGGCTCAGTGGTCTAGTTGGTCAAGCGCCTGGCGCGAGACTGAAATGTCCTAGGTTCGGATCTCTCGAGGGGGGGGCAGGATCGTGGATGAACACTTATGAGGAGTCCCATACTAGAACGAAACGGCCATCCAGTGCTTCCAGGTTCCCCATAATGGTCTAGCTTCAATTGACTCATGATTTCAACCAGTAAAATTTCTAAAATCTCCACAAAACCCCTTCTGAAAATATATATTTATACATAAAAATTTAGGTTTCTTGATGAGTTGTATATCGTTTACTATTCCAGTTACTTTATGTGAATTATTTATACAGGGTCACAAAGTCATTTGTAACCCTGTTTCAAAACGACAGAGTATAAATAGCGATTCACAACGATGATGATGATGATGATGATGATGATGATGATAGTCATGATGATAAATGAAACTGTAAATCAATGTAATCAATCTAGATAGGAGATAGAATAGGCGTTACTCGGAAGCATTTACAGTGAAATAGGATCATCCAAATCTATTACTACGATATATATATTACAGTCTTGGTTAAATTCATGACGATAACTGCTAAAGCTTTCACTTCTTATGAGTAGTTCTTTTATTCCTTTGGGACTTTGATATGAACATGTTTGAAATATAGTACACCAGACATATGTCCGACTATATTTGGATTATATAATTCAAGTAACAAAATTTCTTTTGAAATTTCAATGGTTAACATCATGAGTCAATTGAAGCTAGAGCACCATAGAAAGCTTGAAAGCACTGGGCTGCCGTTTCGCCCTATTGCGGGACTCCTCAGAAGTGCGCATCGATGACCTCGCCCCCTGCGATATTCGAACAGAGGACCTACTAGACCACTGAGCCGGCTGGCATCCAACGGTGTTAATGTCTAACTTCAACTAATCCACGAAATTGAGCGACACATCTACCGCCAAGTGTATACTGAAAGATGCTTTTGTTATTGTAGTAAATTAATTAAGTGAATTCATAAATCAATTAAAGCTAGACCGCCATTAAAAACCTGGAATCACTTGACAGTTGTTTCGTCCTTGTGTGGGACTCCACAGCGGTGCGCATTTTCGATTCAAACTCAGGACCTTCGGTCTTGCGCACAAACGCTTAACCTCTAGATCACTAGGCCGGTATCCAACGGTGTCTAGTGCTTCTAGGTTTTCAATGATGGTTTCGCTTAGATCGACTCATGAATTCAATTATTAAGATTTTGTTATTAGTGTTTCATATGTTTCTGTTTCAGCTGAAAGAATATTCTTTGAAAAATCATAAATTATTCGTAAATCTTTTATCCTAAAAGTTTTGTTTCGTAAAGCATTTCCGCTGAAACATTTAACATCAGAATACATCTGCATAGGTTAGATGGTGGTTGGAGATAGTCGACCCGGGTTTCGTGCTACTTGGCACTCGTCAGCAAGGTGTACCTGTAATCCTTGAGGGAAATGGTGCCCCCTGGCGGATTCGATCCCGTGTCACCCAGCTTCACAGTCAGAGACATTAACACTGAGTTATCCGGGCCGCAACCGACCTCCTTTAGGACTGAGATGTAATCACAATTGATTGATCACTGAGTGGTGATCAATGTCCTGCGTGTCTAGTCCTTATTATTAGTGCAGATCGAACGCTATCGATCTGCATAGGGCTTTAACTTGAGATAACTAACCTAATTTAGTTGGGTTTCCTATCTTTACTAATAAAGATAGAAGTCTGAATCATTTATCAAGAGACATGTCTTTTGATAATCAATATTTTTAACATAAACATTAGTACAAAGTGGTACTAAACAGATATGCGCCACACAGAAACAGTGAAGCCAGTAGCAGCTATTATTGATTTGTGTGAGGGCTATGATACTAACCGAGTGCCATAACCGAAGCAGTTAGTTTTCTTCGGAGGCCACACGCCGAACCTAGGTCTAATCTAGAAGACAGTAGAGCAACGTAAGGAGACGCAGTCCTATGATAGTCGGTGGCTGACAATTGGTACATACTCCTTTTTTTTTCCTTAGGATTCTGGAGCTCATGTGTACCATTGGATTAGAAATAGAGATTTCCAACTCCCCTATGTGGATCTTCCATATTCACTTATCCCGTCAAAGTATCGGACATTAGGTTTTCGTCCTCTCAATTTCGTAAACCACAGTAATGTCGCGAGAATTCAGTGAGTAAGACTTCCCTGACAGTGGCTGTACACATGCGGCCATGTGAGAGTATTTGGAGACGGAGAGCTAACTCTCTTCACCCTCGTCTGTACCAGGATATTTTGGAACTGTATTCTATATATATTAAATAGTTTCCACAGGGTTTCAGTTTCTAATAAGGATGAACTTTCAGTCTTTCTACATTATAATATTATACCCTTTGGTTTTAATATTCTAACATTTAAATACAAGTTAGTATAGTTAAGTGTTAGTATTTTTACTACTGAATTTCAAACATAAGTTTATTAGTAGTCTTGCTATATGAAATGATGAATGAAGTGTATGTTAGTAGTATATATTGAGTATAACTTGAATGATCAAAACATTGATTACTAATATCAGTAACAATTATTGACATTGTACAGAAGGATAATTTTTCTGGTTAGCGTTTTCTTTAGCGAGTGCCTCAGAAGATAGTCAATATCATACGGAATTCCTACAATGAATTAAACTGCTAAATCGTTCATGGAGGACAGTTGACAAAGTCATTCGAAGTAAAAACCGGTGTCAGGCAAGGTTGCTTACTCTCACCCTTTCTCTTTATCCTTGTGATCGACCGGATCATGAAGACATCAACATCTGAAGAGAAGTACGGGATACAGTGGACATCTAGGATGCAATTGGATGATCTAAACTTCACAGATGTTCTGGCTGTTCTATCGCAAACACAACAACACATACAGTGTAGCAGCAGCCTCAGCAGCAGTAGGTCTCAATATAAACAAAGGGAAATGCAACATTCTCCGATACAACACAGCATGCAACAATCCAATCACACTTGACGAAGAAGATTTGGAAGACGTACAAACCTTTACATATTTGGGCAGCATGATCGATGAACACGGTGGATCTCATGCAGATCCTCAGGGTCGAAGGAGGAGAGGAAGATCAAAGAACACTACGCCGAGAAATAGAGATAGACATGAGAAAAATGAACAATAATTGGATGGAACTAGAAAAGAAGGTCCAGGACAGAGTGGGATGGAGAATGCTGGTCGGCGGCCTATGGTCCATTAGGAGTAACAGGCTTAAGTAAGTAAGTAAGTATAGAAGGATAATAATCATTTACAATTCAACTATTTACATATAACTATAAAATAATTGGGTCTTGTAAATCAACTTACTCATACATCTTCTACGATCATAAGATAAAGTGAAACCGGGATTACATTCACAAAAGAAATCACGACCAGCTGGTATACAATGTCCATTAGTACATAAATATCCTCGATGAACAGAACAAATATCAACTTTATCTATTAAGAAATATTAAAAATAATTAAATAAAGATTGAATTTCAGAAAAGGTTTTGTGGAGATTGTAGTAATTTCAATAGTTAAGATCATGAATCAATTGAAGCTAGACTACCACCATGGAAAACCTGGAAGAACTGGAAGGCTGTTTCATCCTATTGTGGGACTCCTCAGCAATGCGCATCCATGATTATGATGTCGCGAGATCTGAACTCAGGACCTATCAGTCTCGCGCGCGGGCGCCTAACCATCAGACCACTGAACTGGCTGGCATCCAATGGTGTTAATATCTAACTTCAACTAATCCACGAAAATGAGTGACACATCCGCGATTGTTTTCAATGAGTTACCATTATATCATAACAGACCTGACTGAACTCCGCTTGCCACTGCTTCTCACTAGAACTGTAGGAAACACCTCTTGAAGCTAGTCACTATTGACCATATGCTGATTTATATCAGAAGGGGTTTTAGTGGATATTATCGTAATTTCAATAGTATAGATCATGAGTCAATTGAAACTAAACCACAATGATGAAACGATCTCTCGTGAAACTGATAGGTCCTGGGTTCCATCGTAGATACACACTGCTGAGGAGTCCCACAATGGGTTGAAACAGCCTTCCAGTGCTTCCAGGTTTTCCATAGTCGTCTAGTTTCATTTGACTCATGATCTCAACTAATCAATAATAAAAGAGAAATCAGCGAAGAAAATTTTCTTTTTGACGAAACCATTTACTTAAACTGTACATTCGTATATATGGAAAATATATGTCTATAGAAGGATAGAAAAGATTCCATTACAAAAATGGATTCGAGAATAAATAACAAATGAGGTTACATACTAATCAAGGGGTAAGGAAGAACAGAATTTATGGGTCAGATAATAGTCTAATTGACACAGATATGAAGATTAGCGACAAACACAAAAATCATAATAATAACTGATTCGAGTTGAAAATGCAAAACAGTTATTCAAAAGAAAAGTTCAATAATAATCAAATAAAAGTGCAAAAAAAAACAAGCAGAAAAAAAAACAACCCAGAAACATACCCATCAAAGGAATTAAGGGTCAAGCAAGGATAAGAGGTTGAACAAATCGTTTCTGCACGCAAAGTTCAGGCTTGAGTTCATGGATTGCCAATACCTCAGCAGTGCATAAAATATTCAATTGGCTCCCCTTCGATCCAATTCTTTTGATTCTCAGTATTGGGGTTGTGGAGATTATTAAGCTTTTGATTGAGATCATGAATCGACTGATGTTAGACCACCGTTGGAAACCTGGAAGCACTGGACGGCCGTTTCGTCCTAGTATGGGACTCCTCAGCAGTGCGCATCCACGATCCCGCTCGCGGGATTCGAACCCAGGGCCTTCAGTCTCGCGCGCGAACGCTTAATCTACTCGACCACTGAGCCAGCATCCAATGGTGTTAGTGTCTAACATCAACCAATCCACGAAATTGCGCAACCATCTTCCATTGTACTGAGGTAGATACCTGTCTCTACCCGACACGGATTAGCTCCACTGGTCACGGCTTCTCACTAGAACTCCGAGAATCCCCTCACGAAGCTAGTCACTAGTGAGCACATGTTTTGATTCTGTAGATTACTTTAAAAGAACAGTCCTTTGGAGTGATGTGTCCACAGTTAATAAAATGCTCCTGTATCGAACTAGTAATTGTTTTGCATTGTCCTTTTAACAATCAGCCAAGCCAGATAGTGTTCCGAGATACGTTTAGACAGCAATCGCTTTGTGCGGCCTATATAACATGCTCCACATAAACTTGAGTAAATTTATAGATACACATTGATGTGACTCAAAGTGGAAGTTTATCCTTCATACATCCCCAAATAGTAGATCGCTTAGAGAAACCCATTCAAAGCTTAATTGCGTATTCAACCATTTTGAAATCTGTTTATTTAAGATTTCAGCAACTATGTCTCTTCTTTAAATTCCATATTCATAAATATAGTTTTCTTCTCTACTGTCGATGCTTTTACCTGATGAAGTATGTGTGCCAGATTGCTATCAACCAATCACCATGGTTACTGAATAGTACATATACTTACTTTAATCATATTTATTTAAACCTTGATTCGTTATTACATAATCTTTGTTGAAATAATCATGTATAAATCGATTCATTATTGATTAGTTTTTTTTTCTCTCTTCATTTACACAAATATACAACAGATGTTCAACATGAATATGATTCTTTATCCAACAGACTATCATTAAACTTAACCAAATAATCATTATCCTCATCATTGTCATTTTTCTTTTTCTCTTTTCTTTTCTTTTTTCTTTTCTTTTTTTCTTTCTTTTTTCTTTTATGATAACTCGTTTATTATTTTTTATTTGAAATAAGAGAAAATATGTGTTAAAGAAATTTCAATATTTCACCTACACATGGTAATTACATCATCCATAGGTAAGCAACAACAACAAGGAAACTATTTTTGTTACTAAGGCGAAAAAAAAATTTATTTGTAGTTGATTAGTTTTTTGTTTTTTTGGACAGAAACTGTTTAATTTTTTTGTTTGTTTGTTTTTGTTTAACATCTGATAAGGTAATCAGTGTCCAATAATTGTAATAATTAACAATCACTGTCTAATAGATATAACTTCTTTTTTTTATATTCTGCTAAAAATGAAATCAACCATATTGTATATATAATTCAATTGTATTAGTTGATTTTGATGAAGTATTGTTCTCTGAACTGGATGGTTTAGTCATGGAGATTTCATTGTTCTTCTAGACGACATCATCAGCATAAACTTCAGATAGAAGTGAAGTGTTTGAATTTCTTCATATGCGTTTCACAGATTGTTCTGTACGATATTCTGAACGATGAAAGCTCCACGAACAAACTATCCAGTTTCGAGAACAAAACTTCATCAAAATCATCTACTTGATCTATAAATCTTCTCCACCATCTTATTAGTTGGTTTTAAATCTTACAATAGTTCAATCAGTTATTAACATATATTGTGTATTCTGTACGGTTTGACTCGAGTCACATAGTTGAATGATGAACGATACTGGGCTGAAGTCTTGAAGTGAACATGAAATCTATGATGCAGGTATATCTAGCTGATGAGTTACAAATGAGACGAAACACTTATCTTGAATTTCATTGTTAGCTACTGAACATCTTAATGTGTTAAACATTATTTTACTGTTGAATTGACTTTTTAATTCACAAATGTACACTTTGTAAGATTGATGAATAGAAAAAGTCATTATTAAAGAATAATGAAATAACTTACATTGACATGTTTTACGATCTTCTGACGGTTCGAAACCCTCATTACATATACATTCATATGTATTCCCACGTGGTATACATTGACCATTTTTACATACAGATGATTTATATAATTGACATATATCAAAATGAAGTTCTTTATCTTCTATACCTGAATATAAAAATAAATGAAAGGAATTCAAAAGAAAATAGCATCTATGATCTAAGACACTAACATCGAGATGAACTGATATGACTTATCAGTATACTTGAAATTAATACATAGCATACATGACCGTAGCTGCTACCTTGACATGGTGGTTGGGTTTGCCTATTGTGATGAAACAATCGAGCTATATTGGCTGGAACATACCAGGCAGGTCGATTCGAGAACGGTAAGACTAAAAGCAGCAACTCAAGGTCTGAGGGCAAAGTCTTACTGCTGACTATCGAAGGATATGACAGCAGAAAGGTGTTTCCTTCGGACAACCAGCATCTGAAGCAATGCTGCCTTCTTAAAAGGAAAGAAGGGGTTAGAAAAGGTGGACCCTAAAAATGTCACACCTCACCTTACCACACGGATTTCCGTCTCCGGCGGTAAGGCCCTTTGAAGAACGGAGCTAACACATTAAAAACCTCCCGCAAAAAGGTCGTGCGCGACCGGCCTCAGGCAGTTGTCCCTTGGGCTCTCCGGTCACGCTCCCAGGTCTTTAAGACCAACACTAATCTGATTTCCTTTTCAGGTTCCTCAAGAAATACCCTTCCATGGTGTGGGCAGCCAGGAAGTGACATCAACCCTCATACCCGTAACAGCACACGAGACCAAGTTGGTCACATTCAAATCTTTCCTATACCTCCTAATAACTCTCTTATCTCCACGACTGACTAATACCCTCTGGATACGTTATTGAATATCATGATTCTTTAGCCTGATGAAATAAGTCACACAAGTAGTAGTATTAAACATAGTGTTGAAATATAGATATAATGGTGGCTGATGAGCCTCAGGCAAGAAGTACTCATCTCAGACCTTACTAACCAAAAACTATTCAAAATACGGACAATTTATCATTGAAGATCAAATCGAATTATCCGCTAAAAAGTGCTTACATACCATTAAGAGCTGACTAAATATGTTATCTTCAATAAACCTACCACACCAATATTGATGATGAATGGTAACTCAATCTTATTCAGACCATAAACCGATCAAAGTTAGGGAATCGTTGAAAAACCTGGAAACACTAGACAACCGTTCTGTCTTACTATAAGACTGCTCAGCATTATGCATCTATAATCACACAATCTTCAGTATATCGAATTGACTAAGGTTAAACACATGCACCACTGGGTTCTGACATAGTGGTCTAGTGGTTAAGCGTTTGTGAACAAAGTTAAAGGTTGCTGGTTCAAGATCTGGTTGTATATTCGTGGATATGCATCACTGAAGAGTCCCATACACGTACGAAACTGCTGTCTAATACTTCTATGTTACCAGTAGCTGTTAAAATTACGTCAGTTCGTGATCTCAAAAAATAAATAACAATACTCACTATTCTATACTGATAACTCCACTTGTTCGTGTTTTTCACAGTATTAGAATAAGGAAAATTACAGTAATCTCAAATATAAGGTTCAGTTATATCCCTGAAATTTTATGCAAATTATGTAAGTTTCAGTAACCTTACGAGAACCATGCGACTATTAGTCATAACTGGCGACTTATCCACCACAGATCCTTAGAACTTGGAATCATTTCAATTTCAGAACCTTTATATTTCCCAGAGATGACATCTCATCACTTTGTTAGTGTTAGTTTAGATTCTCAGTTTCAATCGATCTGTACTACAGTCCATATGTTATTCATCTTGAATGATTATGAAATCAATTAAACCGTATACATACAAAAACTAAACACATAATTTTCTTCTTAAATGCTTTAGTACGGCCAAGATCTAGGGAGTCCTCTCTTCCTCTCGAAATGCTTTCACATGATCACGTGTATAAAACCACTGCCACGGAAATCTTACTAACTGAATTCTCGTGGCGGAACTGTTGTTTACAAAACTGAGAGGACAAAAAACAAATGCCTGATGCTTTAACCAGGTCGGTGGATATGGAGGAGTTGGAAATCTTTAATTCCAAACCGATGGTGTACATGGTCTCTAGTATCCTGAAGGAATAAATGGTGTATGAACCTATTGTTGGTCACCGACTACCATGGGACTGAATCTCCTAACTGACTGACTGACTAACGTAGCTCTACTGTTTTGTGGACTAGACCTTAGGTGGAAGGCTCCGGCTGTGATCCTTTAAGAAAACTACCTGATAACAATGATAAAATGATTGAAAATCAATTGTTTCTCATTTCCTAATGGAATACATTAAGATAGTAGGAAAAAAAAAGTAAAATGTTTGAATCAATTTGTCTTCTTATATTAATTTTGTGGATTCTATTCCTTATTTATCTGTTTCATAGACTTGGTCAGTCAGTTGTTTGTATAGTAGTCAACTCAGTGACTAATTAAATTCACTTGATGTTGTCTTATATGTATCTTCTGATTGTTATTTAAGACTGCCATTGATCTATCTCATGTTGGCATATATGCATCATATGCGAATTGCCTTGATATAGCCTTAAGTCACAAGCTTTTTAAGCATGATGGATAGTGGCTAGCAGTGGAATCCAGTTTGACACGTGTTTCGTCCTATTTGGGAATCGTCAGTTGGATGTACTTACGTCCTAGAATTGTTGATGTTCACTCTGGGGCTCAAACTCAGTACCGTTCGCTTCAAACACCATCGGTATTATCCACTTAGCTACTGAATCCTGATAGCCACTTGGATGCGTATCCTGGAATCCACAGTTAGCCACTATCCATCTTTCCTTAAAAAGTGACTAATTGAATTTAAACAATTGAATCTAGATATTTGTTTTAATAATAATGTTATAAATCTTTAGTGAATAAGAAGTGAATTATTTTTTCATTATTACAATTTGTAGACATCATTTCTGGTATATGAAATATCTTGCCCATTAATAAACTTTGGCTGTGATAAGTCTATATAATTAAACTCTAGATTCGGTTGCCTAAGCTCGTCTAGTAAACTCCAAGCTAAATCTACACAGCAACATGAACAGGAGAGAAAAGGCGAGGAATTTGAAAGAAACGCTACACTCCAAAGGTTTGTTTATGTACAGAAAATCTAGAGTATTTATAGCATTTTAGTTAGGTCATGGGCTTTCGAAAAATTCTGGAATGCTATTAAACATAATAGTAGTATAAATAATTATCCAATCAGAAAAATGACATGTCAAGAAGAAGTCTCTGAAAACGCTAAGAACTATGTTAGCCAATCAGCAACCAATAGAAGTTATGCCATGAGATATTTAGAAAGTGAAAAGTTACATGTCACGTTTCTGATTGGATGATTATTTATACTACTATTATGTTTAGCATACTTACTTACGCTTGTTACTCCTTGTAAAGGAGCATAGGCCGCTCAAAAGCATTCTCCATCCAAAGCTGTCCTGGGCAATCCTTTCAAGCTCTTTCCAGTTCTTATTCATCTTTTTCATATCTGCTTCTATTTCCCGATGTAATGTGTTCATTGGCCTTCCTCTTTTCCGCTTCCCTTCAGGATTCCAAGTTAGCGCTTGTCTCGTAATGCAGTTTGGTGATTTCCTCAATGTATGTCCTATCCATTTCGATCGTCTTTTCCTAATTTCCTGTTCAGCTGGAAGCTGCTTGGTTCTCTCCAACAAAAGGCTGTTGCTGATGGTATCCGGCCAATGGATGTTGAGTATCATGCGTAGACAGCTATTAATAAATACCTGTACCTTCTTGATGGTGGTTGTTGTAGTTTTCCAAGTTTCAGCTCCGTACAGTAGAACTGCCTTGACGTTCGTATTGAAGATTCTGACTTTGATATTGGTTGAAAGTTGTTTTGAGTTCCATATGTTCTTCAGTTGAAGGAATGCCGCTCTAGCTTTGCCAATCCTCGCCTTGACGTCTGCATCTGAACCTCCTTGTTTATCGACGATGCTTCCCAGGTATGTGGAGGATTCCACGTCTTCCAGAGTTTCGCCATCAAGAGTGATTGGATTGCTGTTCTCTGTGTTGTGTTTGAGGACCTTGGTTTTCCCTTTATGTATGTTGAGGCCTACTGATGCAGAGACTGCTGCTATGCTGGCTGTCTTTATTTGCATTTGTTTAGCAGTTCTCCAGAATTTTCTGAAAGCCCATGACCTACCTAAAATGCTATAAATACTCTAGATTTTCTGTATATAAACAAACCTTTGGAGGGAAGCGTTTTCTCCAAATTTTGTGCCTTTTCTCTCATATTCATGTTGCTGTGTAGATTTAATCTAGGGGTTATTAGAAGAGCTTACAGGACTGAATTTAGAGTTTAATTCGAAGATTTTAAACAGCTAAAATAATTCAACACCGTATGTTTAATTACCGTAGGAAAATGTTCAATACTGTAAAGAATTCCTATCTCGTATCTATTAACTTGTATATATTATAAGAAAATGATGAATAGAAGGTTTTTTATAACAATAATTATCTACCACTATTCAAACCAGTATGTATCCATGATCTGACCTCGCGAGATTCGAACCTAGGACCTAACGGTCTTTTGCGTGAAGGTTTAACCATTAGATCACTGAGCATTTAACCAGTACTTTACTGATAATATCTCTTTTTCTTCATGTCAGATTTATATTAGATAGATGATTTCGACTGTTCATCCTCTTTCTAATCCAAAAACTTACATTTCTTTTCGGTGTACTTTTTTTTTGTTAGAAAGATTCAGAAATATTTCATGAATACTCCAAGAGTATTCACAAGTTAGTGATCAGTCAGCCAGTAACAAGGTAGAAGTTTGTACGTGCGTACATCAGTTCACGTTGTCATACCACAACAGTACACAGATACAATCGTTGATTCAAATCCCATAGTGGCAGAGGTAGTAAAAGTATAAGCAGTAATCGGAAAGATTAGGGTTTTAAGATATTATTCAAGAAGTATAATCCAAGGATATGAAGAGTTCAGAAGATTAGAATTTAGGAGAACACAAAGAATGGATGCACTTGAAGTATTGCAAACAATTTTGAGCCATATCATTCAGGGTCTCTAACTATCGGTTGTTATCGTCTCACAGACCCAA